TGGGGTGACACAGGTGCCTCTCCCACAGTTCCATCCCCGGAGTGCCCCACTGCGGGGTCGGACACGGGTGACACTCTGTGGGATGACCTTCCGCTCCCACTTGGACCCCGACCCCAGCCGCAGCCCCCGCGGTGCCTACCGGGTGGCAGTGGGGCGGCGAGGCTGCACCGTGCTGCCAGAGGAGAGCGAGAGCTACAGGTGTGCAGCAGTGCTGGGAGAGAACAGCAGCTGAGAGGGGTCTGGGGCTGCCCCCCGGCCCGGGGCTGATCCCCCATCACTGTCCCACAGACCCCTGCCCACCTCACGCCGCAAGGAGTTTGTGGATGTGCTGGTGTGTGAGCTGGAGCCGGGGGAGCCGGCAGCGGTGGGGGGCCCAGCCGACGTGGTGCTCACTGTGGAGGAGCCCGCCAGACCCTCTGGCTTCCACGTCTACGGCTCCGCCACCCTCGGCGGCTTCGTCTTCGTGGTATGGTTCCACGCTGGCACTGCCCCTGGCAGGGTCGGGGGGTTGACTCACTCACCCATCCCACTAACCCCATCTCTGCTCAGGACCCCCACGTCAGTGCCCTGCACCCCCCGTTTGGCCCCCGGGGGGGTGGCACCCACCTCTCACTCCATGGCAAACACCTCTCGGCAGGGAGCAGCTGGCAGGTGATGGTCAATGGCTCCGAGTGTGCCCTGACTGGGCAGCCCAGGTACACCCCTGCCCTGCACCTGGCACAGCAGCGTGCCCAGCACGGGACGGGCACGGGGAGCCCCTGCAGTCCCGCTGTCCCCCCAGCCACGGCTGTCGTGTCTCCAGGCAGGGCAATGGGACAATCCAATGCACGGCTCCCGCCGCTAGTGGCCTGGGAGCAGCCCGGGTAGCCCTGTGGATTGACGGGGAGGAGTTCCCGGCCCCCGTGCCCTTCCACTACCGCCCTGACCCCACCGTATCCGCCATCGTCCCCAGCTGCAGCTATGAGTGAGTGCCTGGGCTCCCTTCCCCTGGGTGAGGGGACAGCCCTGTCCTCCCACTGCCCTGGCTGGGCTGGACGAGGTGCTGGGGATTGCAGGCACCTGGGGACCATGTGCACCCCGGGGAACCTGATCCTTGCCCTCTGCAGGGGCTCGCTGCTCACCATTGTCGGCACCCACCTGGACTCCGTGTATCGCGCCAAGATCCGCTTCGAAGCCGGCGGTGTGATTACCCAAGCCACAGTAAGCACCGGGGTGCGGGGCCATCGCCCCCCAGCCCTGCCCACCCCACCGCAGTCCCCTGGGCACGTTCCGAGCCGATGCTCAGCATCTCCTTGCGCACAGGAGTGTAAGAGCCCGCTGGCACCAGATCGGCTGCTGTGCCACAGTCCAGCCTTCCCCTTCGAGAGCAAGGTGGAGGTGGTGCTGGGGAACCTGAGCGTGCTGCTGGACGGTGCCGCCGGCCGCTGGCTGTTCCGCCTCCACTACTACTCCCGGCCCAAGGTCTTCCCCTTGAAGCAGGAGGGCAGGCGGCTCCGCCTCAAGCCCGGCGACGATGAGATCGAGGTGCACGTACGTGGGGCAGTGGGGTGAGCCAGAATAGGGGGTCCCACTGACAAGACCCCCGCGCTCACAGCGCTCTGTCTGGGCAGCATCTGAGGCTGGATGCCGTGGCCACCTGCATGAACATCACCATGACAGTGGGGGGCCAGGACTGCCACCCCAACGTCCTGAAGAACGAGGTGACCTGCCGCCTGCCCCGCGAGCTGCGCCTGCCCCCCGCTGGGGCCCCTGTGGAGGTAGGAACCCCCCGGGTGGGCAACCACCTGCCCCAGTCCCCCTCACCCTCTCCCTGCTTAGCCCCTGATCCTCCAGATCTGTGTGAACGGAGCCTGTGAGGCACTGGGCTGGGTTCTGTCCCCCCCCACATCGCTGGACTTGGCCGCCAGCCTGGCTCTGGGCACCGGCATCACCTTCCTGGTCTGCTGCATCCTGGCTGCCGTGCTGTTCCGCTGGCGCTGGAAGAAGGGGCGGGGTGAGTGCCATGCTCACCAGGCACTCCGATGCCCCTAGACCCTGCCACGCCACCCCCTACCCACCCCATTGCTGCCTGCAGGTACGGAGAACCTGGAGCTGCTGGCACAGCCCGGCCGCAGCGACCCCCCTGTCACCACCCAGCGCCCCGGCGTCGACTACAGAGAGGTGCTGGGTAAGTGGGTGTCACTGGTGGGTGGCGGGTGCTGGGTGCTACCGGCCCTCACCCCGCCTCTGCCTGTCCCGGCAGTGCTGAACACAGCGGGCACTCCTGGCCCCGTGGGGCCCCACACACGAGTCACCAGTGCCGGTGCCAATGGCAGTGCTGGTGCTGGTGCAGCGGGCGGCGGATCCCCCATGCCCCTGCTCAGGGCCACATCCTGCTGCCTGGAGGATCTGCGGCCAGAGCTACTGGAGGAAGTGAAGGACATCCTCATCCCCGAGGAGCGGCTTGTCACCCACCGCCACCAGGTCATCGGCAAAGGTGACCCTTTGGCACCTCGATTTGGCTGTGGTGTCACCTGCCCAATGCATGTGGTGCCAGCTCTGTGCCACTCGTCCCTGCAGGGCACTTCGGTAGCGTCTACCATGGCACCTACACGGACCCACTGCTGGGGGACCTCCACTGTGCTGTCAAGTCCCTGCACCGTGAGTTGCTCCCCCGCCGCGTGTGCTCCCGTGGCACAGCAGCAGAATGGCCACAGCTCAGCTCTCCACAGGCATCACGGACCTGGAGGAGGTGGAGGAGTTCCTGCGTGAGGGCATCCTCATGAAGAGCTTCCACCACCCCCAGGTGCTGTCGCTGCTGGGGGTGTGCCTGCCTCGCCATGGGCTGCCCCTTGTCGTCCTGCCCTACATGCGCCACGGGGACCTGCGCCAGTTCATCCGCACCCAGGAGCGGGTAGGGGGTGCCACAAGGAGGGTGGGAGGTGATGGGTGCCAAGGTCTCCATGCTCACTGCTCCTATCTCACAGAGCCCAACAATGAAGGAGCTCATTGGCTTCGGGCTGCAGGTGGCCCTGGGCATGGAGTACCTGGCCCAGAAGAAGTTTGTGCATCGGGACCTGGCAGCCAGGAACTGCATGTAAGTGTGCCTGTGTCCTCCAGACTCCACCACAGGGCAACCCCCTGGGTCTGGGGGTGCCCAGGAGTCCCCACCTCGACCCCCACCTGGTGTCCTGCAGGCTGGACGAGACGCTGACAGTAAAGGTGGCTGACTTTGGGCTGGCGCGGGACGTGTTTGGCAAGGAGTACTACAGCATCCGGCAGCACCGCCATGCCAAGCTGCCTGTCAAGTGGATGGCCCTGGAGAGCCTCCAGACCCAAAAATTCACCACAAAGTCTGATGTGGTAGGCATGGCTCTCCCTTCCCATCCCGTCCTCCATCTCCTACCTGTGTGCCCATGGCAGCTGTCTTCTCGGCAGTGGTCCTTCGGGGTGCTCATGTGGGAGCTGCTGACACGTGGGGCATCTCCCTACGCCGGGGTGGACCCCTACGACATGGCCCACTACCTGCTGCAGGGGAGGCGCCTGCCACAGCCCTCTCACTGCCCCGACACCCTGTGAGTGCAGCTGGGGGTGGGCAGGGGTCGTCCTGGGGGGCTGCCAGCACTGACGGGTGTCATTGCAGGTACGGGGTGATGCTGAGCTGCTGGGCGCCAGCGCCCGAGGAGAGACCGTCCTTCACCGGGCTGGTGGGTGAGCTGGAGCGTGTCCTGGCCACGCTGGATGGTGAGCACTATGTCAACCTGACTGTCACCTACACCAACCTGGACTGGGGTCCTCCCTTTCCCCCTGCTCCACTGGGGCAGCTGCCTGATAGAGGGGATGAGGATAAGCATAATGAGGAAGAAGAAGAAGAGAAGGAAGAGGAGGAAGATGACGACACGTCTGTGTGCTGATGGGATTCCCTGCACCATGAGGTCTCCCAGACCCCCATATACCATAGGCACACTCCCCTGAGGAGGGACGCAGTGTGCCAGATGCTGTGGGGCACCCTCCCTGTGGGATGGGTGCTGTGGAGTGCTCTCCCATGGCTCACACCCAGACCCTGCTGGCTGCTCCCCGGGATTGATCCCATACCACAGGGTGCCGGGGGCTCAGTCCTGTGCTGGCTGGGTTGTGTGAGGCTCAGCCCCACAGTGATGAGTCTGTGCTCTGAGGTTGGGTGCTCAGTCCCATAACGGATGGGTGCTGTGGGGCCCCATACCCAGTGGGTGCTGTTGGGCCTGGCCTTCCCAAGGCTCCCATGGAGTTTCCAGCTTCTTAGCTGTTCAAATCATTCATTAAAACCTAATTATATTTTTTTCCCTGGCTGGGGCTGTGTCTTTGAGGGGGCTGTGCCCCAGGTTGGCAGCATCCTTGTGCCCCTGTATGGGTGAGGTGTCTCCCCACCTACTCTTGAGGCTCCCACCTCATGTGAGGCACTGAGGAGGGGGCACCCACTGTTGTGCCAGTGAAAGGAGGGCATCTGCACAATGGTGCTGCTGTGCCCACCCTGGAACCATCCTCCTTTGCCTGCCACACCAGGGCCCCACTCTGCACCCCATGTCCCAGCATGGCCCTCTGACCTTGGGATGTCTAGGAGGTTTTTGCTAAAATTCCTCGAGGAGTACCATGCTCCTGGACATGGGGTGGCAATGTCCCTGCAGTCCTGGCATATGTGCCATGCTGTCCCAGGGATTTGTGGCATGATGGATGCCTGGGGCATGGAATTGCAGTGCCCATGGGGTCATGATGCTCCTGAGATGATAGGTGGCCAGGCATCAGATCAGGATGCTCTTGGGGTTGTGAGTGCCCAGCCATGGGATCATGGAACCCAGGGGCATGGGATTACAGTGTCCCTGACACTAAGGTACCTGTAGGACCACAGGACATGTGACACAGTGAGGACATGATGGTACCCAGCCCCTCTACTGCTCCTCACCCTGCCTGCCTGCACATGGTCCAGTAGGGCACACTGCTCTGGGCTTGGGGCTGCTGTCTGGTGACCAAAAATCATTACCAGCTTCACTTAAATGATACTTTTATTGCTTCAGTGCTGCCTGTGCAGAGGACAGTGGACCTCATGCCTCAGGGCAAGAGATGGGCATGGGTCTGTGATGCTTGCTGCCCAGTGAGCTGGCTTTCTGTTCCTTTTGATGGAAGTGGTGGCAGATGTCACACTTGCAAGGAACTCATCCTGATGAAGAGGTCCCTTCTGCCCCAGTTTTGGGGCAAAAATCACCTAGAACAAGACACTGGAAAAGAGGAGGGAGAAATGATGGGCATCCCTTGCCTGGGTACAGGTCCAGAGTTCAGGGCAGGGGACAAGGGCAGGGTCTGGGATGGATGGATGGATGGATGGGCAGGCAGGGGATGTTCAGGGCAAGCCCAGGATGGGCAAGGGATGCTGAGACGCTCACGGTCTGTGGCTGTGGGCGGCACTGCTCCTGCTCCATGTCCAGCCACACGGGCCCTGCTGCCAACACTGGCTTTAAATAAAACCTCCTCGGCTGCTCATTAAGCAGTGCTGGAGCCCAGAGCTGCGTCAGCTCCCATCAGCCAAGCTGTCCATCTCCACCGGCGCCTCGCACCTGCACGGCTCCACCGCCATGTGCCCGAGGGTATTTTCAGTGCAGCTGGGTCCCAGCATCCCATGGTCACAGTGGCTGCCAGCACCGTGCCTCAGTTTCCCCACAGTGCAATTGCTGTGCTCCCCTGGCCTGGGTTTTGAGTGACCATGACCTCCAGTGTAGGTGCTGACCTTGCACATGAAAGGCCAAGTAGCATCATTTTGGCTCGCTGCTGAGTTGCTATGGAAGAGCCTGGCACTGTGTGATTATTAGGGCTGGATCAGAAATGGGAGGTGCTGGGCACTGGTCCTGGGGGTTGCTGCATGCCTGGGGGCAGCCAGGACAACTGACTGGGGCACCAGCAGCTCATGGGATGCAGTAATGCAGGGATGGATGGATGGATGGATGGATGGATGGATGGATGGATGGATGGATGGATGGATGAGTGCATGGATGGATGAGTGCATGGATGGATGGATGGATGGATGGATGGGCAGGCTGGCACTCTGGCTATTGCCCTTCTCAGCATGAAGCAGCGTGGGTGCCCAGGGCTGTGTTTGGGTGGCAGATGTGTGCCAGGCCTGCTGTCTGGTGACACAGGAACAGCCATGGGAGCACCCAGTGGGAACAGGGTGCCTGGAGGGAGCAGGGCTGTCCGTGCTGGCAGTGGGGTGGCACAGTGAACTGCTTGTTAGCTGACAAGTCTGGTGTGGTTACGGTGATGTGCGTGTGGGCGGCCCCTGCTTTAGGCTGCCCCCCTCCCCCCACGAATGTGCTTGCAGAGATGACAGATTTCATGCTAATCCACATTTATCCTGCCCTAATTACGCTGCAGGAGGTGAGGAGTGAGCACCCAGACTTCCATGCCAGGGGCTGGCATGTGCCCACCCCTGTCCAGTGCTGCCTGACGCTGCTAGCTGGGACTGGTACTGGCACCGTGCCCACCGCCACGGCACCAGGGACAGGCAGGTGACCTGTCAGGGTGGCATCTTGCATGGCACCTGGCACCCCTGCCGCAGCTGGGGGGTGCCTTAGGGGCTACCTGGACACCCGCAGGTGGGCACTGGGTGGCGGCACCCTGAGGTGCTGTGTGGCTGGGCATGGTTGGTGCAGCCCCGGGCTGAGCTGTGGGCAGGTGAAGCCGTGCCACGCTGTGCCAAGCGGTGCCAAGCCACCTCGTGCCATGCCCATCCGCCACGGCTGCGGCAGAGCAGCCGGCGTCCCATCCCGGCAACGCGCCGTGCACACACAGCACTTTAAATGTTTTATTTGGGGAAAGTGCTGTCGTTAGCGGGGATTAATTATTAAAATCGGAGCCATCTATAAAACATGAGTGGCCGCACGCGGGGCTGCGGGTGCACAGGCAGAGCCGGGCACGGTCCCGCCACCGGCATCGCCCGGGGACCTGCTGCGACGGCGGTGATGCCGCAATGGCACCTCCACCGCAGGTTTGGGCTCCTGGTGGCAAAGCGGGTGCAGGCAGCCAGTGCCACGGGGTGGGGGCTGGACTGGAGATGGGCAAAATTGTGCTAAATCAGTGTTTGGGTGAGGCGGGGGTCTCCGGTGCCAGCCGTCCCGGTGAGAGGTGGCAGGAGGCAGCAGGCAGCGCCGAGCTGTTTTTAGCGGCTGCCGGTGCTGGGGAGCGGGCGTGAAGAGCAGCCGCGGCACCGACGTGCCATTTTTAGAAACCGGCAAGTTTTGCTAATGATGCCTGTGAGCGGCGGGGGGGCCGCACCCCGGCACCCCCAGTCCTGCTGCCCGCAGCCGGCCCCGCAGCCAGCCCTGTCCTCTGCCCTCCCCGCCCGGGGCCAGATCCTGCAACTGGGGCACAGCCCGGGACACCCCTGCACCCACTTGAGGCTCTGCTGGCCCCCAGAGAGCTTTGATAGTGCTTGGGGAGCTTCAGGGGCCCCTGGGAAGCTTTGGTAGCCCCTGAGGACCTTCCTTGGTCTCTGAGGAGCTTTGGTGGCCTTTGGGGAGCTTTGGTGGTCCCTGGGAATCTCTGTTGTCCTCTGGGGAAATCTGCTGATCCCCGGAGGAGCTTTGCAGGCAACTGGGGAGCTCTGCTGTCCTCCAGGAAGCTTTACTTTACCCCAGAGCCTTCCAAATTATATGACACATCTTTTTCTTCTTTCTCTGTCCCTGAGACAGCACTGGACCTCAGCTGGGGAGGCTCACCCCATCCCAGCACCCACTCAGGACCAGTCCCAGCCATGTCCCAATCCTGGTCTTGATCGTGGTCCTGGTCCTTTCCCCTGGGGACAGTTCTCTCCCTGAGCTCTCGCCCTGAACAGCCTCCCTGCATCTTGGTCCCTATGGCTGCAGGTACTGCCAGAGGCCCAGGGGACCCCGAAGGTCTTTCAGTGGGAGGGGGAATCAAACCTTGATGCCACGTCATCACTGTAATGCTGGAGTACACTGTGGAAAACAAGCCCCTTTTCCCCATCAAGGTTCCAGGGACGAGAGCCAGCCCTGGATGTGACAGGGACCAAGCCAGTGGAGAGGTACAAGGCTTTTTGTACTGTCATCGACACAGGGACAGCCCACATCAGGAGCAGGCTGGCCAGGGACAAGCAGCCACAGTCAGTCGTGCCCAGCCAGGTGTGGGCAACCCTGTCCTCACACACAGTGTGGTCACCAACTGGGATGGGCTGGCAGGGCTGCGGCACTGTGGGGGACAAAGTACCTGGTGGCAAAGCTGAGTGGCTCTCTGGCTGTGTCCCTTGACGCCTTCCAGGGCACATGGGTGCCATGGGACACCTGTGGGGAGGGCAGCCCTGCCACTGTGGGCCCCCATTGCTGCTCATCCCATTAAAGGGCCAGGGGTGGCGAGCAGCAGCTGCACCGCCTCTTTTTCTCTCCCCCTTGCTCCCCACCGGCCCCCCGAAAGAAGGGATGGGGTTTATTTGGCCCCGTTGCCGGGCCGACGTGCGCAATTATCGCTGATTGCCTGGCGGTTGCCATGGCGATGGCAAGCACGCAGGGATGTGGTGCCGCGTGGTGCTTGAGTCACGGACACGCTGAACACCCCCCACTGCACCCCACTGCACCCCACCGCAGACACGCCGAACATGCATCCCACTGCACCCCAGAACAAACATGCTGAGCACCCCCCGCTGCACCCCACTGCACCCCCCAGCACCCTCTGGGCTGGCCCTCCATCCCCTTCACCCTCCTGGGGCAGGGGGATACAGCAGCTGTCCCCCAGCTGAAGCAGGGCAGTATGTCCAGGTGTCCCCCACCCCCTGTCCCCCATCTGAGGCAGGGCTGTACAGCCAGGTGCCCCCAGCCCTGGCAGCCCCACCTTGGGCATCCCAGGCTCGCTCTCTCCAGAGGCGCTGCAGGAAAAATCACCCCAGGGCAGCCATGGCACCCCACACGCAGCTCTGGGGTGTAGTGGGAAGGGGGTGGGTGCATGGGGCAGCGGGACACGGCACTGTAAGGACAAATGCCATTGGGGTCAGCAAAGCTCATCACCCCAAAATGGGACATGGAGTGGACCAAGATCTGAGTCAGAGTCAGGACCAGGAGGGGATCACAGCACAGTGATGGGACCCTGTGGCAGTCCTGCCACAGGCAGGAGACTGGTGCCAGGAGGTGATAGGCACGAGCTGGGGTCAAGGGACAATGGAGAAGTGCCACCACATCCCTCATGCTGCAAGCCATCACTGGGCAGCCCCGAGCCACACGGGTGCCTGCCGGGTAATTATGGCTTACGCTCTGGGTCCCCGCGAGGTGCAGAGATTAATAACTGTGGTGCGCTGCTGCCAGCCGGTATGATTAAACTCTTGATTAGAAGCTCAAACTACAGTGCCCTGCTAATTCCCCCTGCTCTCACACACCCTTAATCACCCAGCACAGGCGGTGATAGGCCTGGGGCTGGCAGGGCTCGATGCCACACAGGGGACGGGTGCTGGGAGCACCCCAGCTCTCCCTTGGAGTGCTGGCTGGTCTCCAGTGAGCAGAGGGGTGAGGCTGGCTTTGGGACCCTGGTGTCCCCTATCCATGGGCGGGAGAGGGCTGTAGGTCCCGTGAGTGGATGGCCACACCCTGTGGCAGCTGAGGACCTCAGGAGGTGTGGGGAGCTGGGGTCTGGTGGGTGCAGGGGCGGGAGGGGAGGGAAGTGGGGGTGCAGTTTGGAAGCAGCACCATATGGGCAGCAAATGCCAGCGTGTGGCACGCAGCCCTTGGGGAGGCTCCGTACACGTGGCTGCACTGTGTGAGGAGTGAGGGGTGAGGGGGCCCGGGAAGGGACTGGTGCCCTGTTGTGCCCTGGGGACTGTGCTGCCCACCCCAGGCTGGGTCCCGTGTCTGGGATGTGGGCAGAGGTAAGAGAATCAGGGTGGCCCATTTCTTGTCCCTTTCTTGTTCCTTGCCCCATGCTGTGGTACAAGGACAAACCCTGTTATAGGCAAGTGAGTAGAGCCTTCGGCCCTGCCCCTGGAGGAGAAGTTGCCTGGTTCCCACTGGATAACAGCACAGAGGCAGGAACATGTGTCTACCGTGTCCTCACGGCACCTTTTAGTGCCCTCAGGGGGCAGATACCTGTGACGCTGAGCCCACGCTCAGCTTTGCTAAAATCCTGCTCCCATCCCATCCCGTCCCGTCCCGTCCCGTCTCGGGCCGGGCCGGGCCGGGCCGAGCCGGGCCGGGGGCCATAGCACAGCCCAGGGGATCCCGGCTCCCCCCATAGGGCACACTGTGGGGTCCCGTGGGGTCTCTGGTCCCACGGTGTCCCGGGCCCCCGGGCAGTGGCGGTGTCCCAGCTCGGTGACAAGCGCCGGGCCTCGCCCACGGCGGTGCGGTGGGTGCCAGCGCCACGCGTGACCCGTCCCCACGGGCGGGGCGCGAAGTTTGGCGGTGACGTCAGGGCGGGGCGGGGCGTGCGGGGGGCGTGGCCCCGCGGTCCCGCCCCCCCAACTTGCCGCGCCGGGCGCGCGGGGCCGCGCCGCACGGACCGACGGCAGGGCTGGGATCGGCTGGGATCGCTGGGACCGGCGGGGATCGGCTCGGCTCGGCCCGGCTCGGCCCCGGCCCGGCGCGGGAGGGCGGGCGGGAGGGGCGCGCTCCCCCCGAGCAGCGGCCCCGGGCCGCGGCCCCCCGTTGCGGTCGAAGAGGCGTGCAGGTGAGCGCCGCGCCGCGCCGGACCGGGGGCGAGGGGGGCCGGGCCCGGCGGGGGGGGGGCGTTGCTGGCATCTGTCACTGTCTGGCCTGGGGCTGCCCCCAGCTCTCCTCCCAGACCCCGGTGGCCCGGGACGTCCCGACGGGGCCGCGCGTATCCCTGTCCGGTGCGTGCGCGCCCCGACGGCTGCCCGCCACCGCACTGCCCCCGCCGGCACCCCGCGTCCCGCAGACCCCGAGCCCCGACGGACGCCGTGGGCACGGCGAGCTGCCGAAGCCCGGCTCCCCCCGCGCCTCCCCGCTCGCCCCCCGGGGCCGCTGCTGCCCTGGTGCCGCCCCCGTCTCTGCGAGGAGCCCGGAGAACCGGGCCGGCACCGCTGGAACGGATGCTGCCGGGGAGCCTCTCCCCGTGCCCCCACCGCCGAGCATCCCCTCCCGGACCCCGCACCTCTCTCTCCCGCAGTCCGCTCCCTTCCCGCTGCCGCAGCGCTCCGAGCCGGCCAAACGCAGACCTCCCTGCGGTGCGCGGCCCGGGCTGTCCCTCCGCACACCCCGGGCCGGGGGCGGTGGCACTCCCCCAGCCCTGTCTCAGCCCCAGCCCGGCGGCTCCGCGGGCAGCGCTGGGCCGGCCGGCCCCTCCGCCTCCCCTCCGCCTCCCGCTGCCTGCACTAGCAATATTTCGGTCCGTCTTAGCCCGGCTGCGTTTTCTGCCTCTCCCCGGTACATCCTTCCCCCGGGACGTGGGGGCGGGATGGCAGGGGGAACCCCCCACGGACATGTCCAGGGCAGCTGCAGGTGGAAGCGGGGCAGGAGATGAAACACCAGCCAGTGGCACCTCACGCCGTGGGGCAGAGCTGGGGGTCGGGGGTTGGGGGGCCCCGCTGGCGAGGGCTGCACGGCTGCGTCATCCCTCCGTGCCATCCCCACCCGGCCACCCACTTCCCCGCTATTGTCTTACACCCGCTGTTGCTTCTGCTCCCAAATTAGACTCTTGGAGGGGGGTGCTGGCTGCGTGCGGGTGCCAGTGCAGCACCGAGCCTTCCCCCTGGCACCCCGGGGAGGGAGCACTCATCCCTTTGCCCACCTCTCACCTGGGTGCCCCTGCCCCGGTGGGGGTGCTCTCACCTATGGGGTGCAGGTGTTGACCCCGATGGTGGGCTGGGTGCCAGCCTCCCTTGCAGGGTACCCCAGGTGCACTGAGCCCCTCGAAGACAGCCTGGGGCAAGGGAGGGTGGCAACGCTCAGCCCTGGCAGGATGGGTGGCCACTAAACCAACGGGAACTAATTTTATGAGCGCAGATTAGCTGAGTGCTCTCATAGACAGCAATAAAATCCCAATATATCATCCCACCCGGGTCCCCTTCCCGGCTAATCCTGGCACCATGCTGCCAGTGCTGGCAGCCTGCCCATCCGCCAACCAGCCCTACCCCTGATGATCTGTGGCACTGAGCCCACCGCCCCTCCAGCAGCTGCCAGGACAGCCCTCATTCCCCTTAGCCAGGTAGAGTGGCACGGCAGAGCCGGTGTCGTGTGGCATGGGGACACAGAGGTGCCAGGCAGGGCATATTTGCTGGGAGAGATGCTGGGATGAGTCAGGTGTAGGCTGAAAAACCTCATCCAATCTAGGGCACAAGCAGTGGTGTCCCATGGGTGCTCTTCTTCTCTTTTGGGACTTGGTGCACGCTGAGCAGGATTAGGCAGGTGCTCTTACTCAGTGCAGGCTTTCCTGGCAGGACGGTGCCTGGGTGCCTTGCAAGCTGGGAGCATCCATCCTGTGGGCATTGCTCCAGTAGACACAGAGACAGGTCAGCCCCAAAGGATGGAGGCAGGAAGGAGCATCCCCCCGTTCCCTGGCTCACTGCACTCATGTCCCACCCAGGTTTGGGTCAATCACCCCAGGGAGCACTTAAGTGCATGCCCTGGGTGCTGCAGGCAGCACGCCTTCCTCCCAGGGCCTGCACGGCAGGGACGGGGCTGTGCACCTGCAGGTGGGTCGGGTGCTGCCGGGTGCTGCCCGTCCCTGCCCCCTCCAAAGGATGTGCCGCTTTCTGCATCTTCAGCTCCCATTGCCATAGCAACAGGCTCGGCGCTTAGGTACCCGCGATGCCGGCTCCCGCATCCCGCATCCCGCAGCCATCCTGCCCGCAGCCCTCGCCACCGGGCCCCGGGCGCTGCCGGTATGGCACAGCCAGGCCCGTGCAGCACAGCGTGGTGTCCGGGGAGCCTTAGCGCTGGGCAATGGGTGCCTCCAGCATCGTGCCACCTTCCCATCACAAGGTCCCACTCAGGCCCATCCGAGAGGGTTGGGGGCCCCAGGCAGCTCTGTCATCTTCTGAGCCATCAAAACATAATGTCAGCTGAAACTTCCTCCCGCTAACACGGTGGGAAAGTGTTTCCCAGCGGGAAAGGGGAAGAAATTACTTTCTGTGATCAATTTTTTTTTTTCTGGGAAGCTTCCAAGAAGGATCTGGTTTTGAAGAGTTCCCAACAGGGAAACAAGGGGCAAAGCATCCTTCCTAAAGGGCTGGAGAAGCTGGCATCTGCCAAGGCTGGTGTCCTGACCGCTGCCCGTGGCAGGAGGGCTGGCACCTCCGAGCTGCAGTGCCACCTGCCTGGTGCCACAGTCAGGGCTGGTTGGGGATGGCAAGCTGAGGCTGGTGTAACCCACTGCACATGTGACAACGTGTGACAATGCTCTGCCTGGGGAGGCCCCATCTGCTGAAATGTTACCATGGGCAAGACGGGGCTGAGAAACAGGAAAGGATCCGTTCACCTCCGCTTGCCTCCCCAGTGGGTGCTCCAGGCACTGTGCTAACCCTGACTGCTAATTAATCATTAATAATTCACAAACAGGGCCCAGAGGGGGAAGCTTGTGGCTGTGCTGGCAGCCTGAGCCCGGGCAGAGAGGCTGGATGCCACGGGCATGGATGCACATCGGTGGGGCTGGGCACATGGCGGCTTGCGGCAGCTGCAGAGCACGAGCAGCGCTGTGCTCAGGTTCCACGTTAATTAGCAGAGCTCGGGAGGGTCTGCTGTGGCTCCAGGGGGGCCGGCAGTGCCGGGGCACTCACTGCCTCTCCCTGCCCTGCCAGCACCGGGCCCTGCGATGCCGTTTGGCTGCGTGACGCTGGGAGACAAGAAAGATTATAACCAGCCGTCTGAAGTGACCGACAGATATGACCTGGGCCAGGTCATCAAAACGTGAGTTGGTCCCTCCATGGCCCCACAGATGCCCTGGGGAACCCCAGCCACCTGTGTGGGGCTCTTGGGGTGCTGAGGAGTGGCACAACACTGCCTGTAGGGGCTCTGGGCATGCTGGTCCCCAGCTGGGCCGGGATTGCAGGGTGTACTTTGGGGTGGCTTTACCCTAATTAGTCCCTCTTGCTCGTGGGGTGCATGGGGGATATTCACAGCTAGCTCCAAGGAGGGCAATGAGCTTTCCCACTGCTTCTGGCTGCAGCTGGGCAGCTTCCCACATCCCTCCCTCCTCCCCTCAAGATTTGCAGGGATTGCAGCAATTCCACACGATCCTGGCTTCCTCAAGCATTTTGTGAATCAAGAGGGCTCAGCTACAGCAAAGAAAAGGCAGATGTCACTTGGGGGGCAGTGGAGCATTGCTGCTTCCCCCAGCTTTTATTGCCATGCTGAGGAACCTGTTAGGATGCACTCAAAAAAATGAAGCCCTCACACCCCTTGAGAGTGGCTTGACTGCAAAATAGGCACCAGAATTTTTTCCATCAACTTCCAAAACACCTACTTGGACAGAGGTCACACCTGGCAGGATCACACTGGGTAGCAGTGGGGACCTTGGGGACCTTTGCTCCTTCCTCTGGGCAGTTTGTCCCAAAGCCCACAGGTCACTGTTCCCCTCCACCTGGGGCAGGGGCTGTGAAGATTTCAGCACAGCTGGGGGGGGGATTGGAAAGCCAACAGCTTTGCTGGAGTAGTGCCAAGTGCCCCCCGGGGGCTCCCCTGCAGCTGCAGCCTGGCCGATGGGCTCAAGCACCATTAATAATAGAACAGAAACACTGCAGCTACCGGCACATCTCCCTTTCTTTCTCCCCAGCTGCTGTGCTGATGTTAATGTCGGCTGTGCTGCTGTTCCACCTTGGCACGAGTGGCTTCACAGTGGGTCTTACCCTCCTGTCCTGAGGACGGGGCTTTTTAACCAGCAAATTCTCCCCCTTCCCTATCAATTTGCTTCTTCCATATCAGTTGCTTCTCACTGCAGTTTTTTTTCTTCCCCTCCAAAGTGGTTTTGAGCCACAGCTTTCTTTTACTTCTGTGGCATCTCCCCTGACTGCTGGGATTTGGGGGAACGCTGGTGGGCCCAGAGACCACCCAAGCACCCCAGTCTCAGTGGTCCCTGGGAACGGGGTGATGCATGAGGGTACTCCTGCAGGGAGGAGTTCTGTGAAATCTTCCGGGCCAAGGAGAAGACGACAGGGAAGTTGTACACCTGCAAGAAGTTTCTGAAGCGGGATGGGAGGAAAGTGCGGAAGGCAGCCAAAAACGAGATCATCATCCTCAAAATGTGAGTACTGGGGCTGGAGGGGATCCTGTGCTACTGGGCAAACTGGGAACGCCTACCCATGCTCCTGTCTCTCTGCAGGGTGAAGCACCCCAACATCCTCCAGCTGGTGGATGTCTACATCACCCGCAAGGAATATTTCATCTTCCTGGAGCTGTAAGTTTGGGACATTTGGAAGTGGGGAGGGGGTGGCCCCACCAGGGTTGGGTCTCAGCAGAACTGCTGTCCGCAGGGCCACTGGCCGGGAGGTCTTCGACTGGATCCTGGACCAGGGCTACTACTCGGAGAAGGACACCAGCAATGTCATCCGGCAGGTGCTGGAGGCTGTTGCCTACCTGCACTCACTCAAGATCGTTCACAGAAACCTCAAGGTGGGTGGCAGGAGAGTGGGAGCACCCATGGGTGCTGCCATGCCCCCTGTCTTGGCACTCACAGTCCCTGCACCGGCAGCTGGAGAACCTGGTGTACTATAATCGCCTGAAGAACTCCAAGATCGTCATCAGTGACTTCCACCTGGCCAAGCTGGAGAACGGGCTCATTAAGGAGCCCTGTGGCACTCCTGAGTACCTGGGTGGGTGAGAGCCAGCCGGGTGGGCATGCAGGGGTGAGCAGTGCTGGGTCCCAGCAGGTCCCTGCTGCTCCGTACCATCCATTCCTTACTACCTGCTGCTGCACCTCCCATTCCCCATCACCCTGGGGGCTGATACTGGGTGATTCCAGTGGGCGCCTCCCATTCCCCATCACCCCAGGGCCAAGAGGCTGGGTGGCTGGGGACCCCGGGGGATGGTTGCTCTTCTGTCTCTGGCAGCTCCGGAGGTGGTGGGGCGGCAGCGGTACGGGCGGCCGGTGGACTGCTGGGCCATCGGCGTCATCATGTACATCCTGTGAGTGTGGGGTGAGGGACAGGGCAGCTACAAGGGTTCAGGGCTGGGGCGGGACTGAGCCCCCCACCACATTCCCCAGCCTCTCGGGAAACCCCCCTTTCTACGAGGAGGCAGACGAGGATGACTATGAGAACCACGACAAGAACCTCTTCCGCAAAATCCTGGCTGGGGACTATGAGTTTGACCCACCGTACTGGGATGACATCTCGCAAGCAGGTGAGCCCCACACTAGGGGGGGTACGTGGGGTCCCATGTTGTCCCCTACCAGCACTTACTTCTCCCCCTGTGCCCCCAGCTAAGGAGCTGGTAACACGCCTGATGGAGGTGGAGCAGGACCAGAGGATCACAGCAGAGGAGGCCATCTCCCATGAGTGGTGAGCAGCGGCAGGGTCCGATGGGGAGCCAGGGGGGCTGATAGGGGCTGCTCACCCCTCACTGCCTCTCCAGGATCTCTGGGAATGCGGCCTCTGACAAGAACATCAAGGATGGCGTCTGTGCCCAGATCGAGAAGAACTTCGCCCGGGCCAAGTGGAAGGTGGGTGTGGCTGTGCCGTGCCTCCATGTCCCCTCTCAGCCAAGCTCGGTCCCCCAGCATGGGGCTAAGAGGCTGGTGGGGCCGCCACTCCCTGCCCCTCCGCCAGCCCCACATCCCCCGTCTCTCCCCCGCAGAAAGCCGTGCGAGTGACCACGCTCATGAAACGCCTGCGGGCGCCCGAGCAGACGGAGACGGCGGCAGCTCCGGCCCCGGCAGCGACCCCAGCCCCGGCAAAGGCTCCTGCCCCGGCAAAGGCTCCGGCCCCGGCGGCGGCTCCGGCCCCGGCAGCAACTCCAGCCCCGGCAGCGACCACGGCCCCGGCGGCGACTCCGGCAGCGGCCCCGGCTCCCGCTGCCGCGGAGCCCGCGGCCACAGAGCCCGCCACCGACACCGCCCCGGAGCCCGCAGCCCCCGCCACGGAGCCCGCAGCCCCCTCCGCCACCGCCCCGGAGCCCGCGGCCCCCGGCACGCCGCCCGCCGCCACGCAGCCCCCGGCCCCCGGCACACCGCCCGCCACCACATGTAACGAGGCCGGGGCCGCCGCCGAGCCCTCCAGCGAGCAGAGCGGCTGAGCGGCCCCGCGCCCCCTGTACATAGCCCCGGCATGGCCCCCCGCCCCCGCCTGCGCCCCCTTTTCTACGTGCCCCGCCGCAGAGCCGGCCGCGGGGCAGAGCCCTGCATGGCGCCCGTTCCCCCGTGTCCTCCCAGCTCTCTCAGTCTGTCCCCCGCCGCCGTCCCCTCCCCCGGGGATGCCCAGAGACGCGGGGCAGCGCCCTGGGCCGCCCGCCCCGCAGCGCCGGGGGCGCGTCGCGGGGCCCCCGGGACACGCGTGCATGTGCGGGGCCGCAGGCGGGGCCGCCCAGGACGGAGCGGGGGCCGTCCCGGAGACCCCCTCTCTGTCCTGGGACCCCCGTGGGGGACACGGGGACCCCCGCCCGGGGGCAGCCGCACGGCCCCCCACGCGCTGTGCCTGGAGGACGCGCACTGCCCCCCCCGTGCCCCCTCCCCGGTCCCCGCTTCCCCCCTCGCAGCTGCATGCCTGCAGGGCCGGCTCTGCCCGCGGCTGCCGCCGCCGCCCCGCGCCCCGCCGCTGTATCTCTGGCAAATAAAGACCCCGCTGAGGACAAACTGAGACAGCACCAGCGCCGCCTGCCCAGTCTCTCTGTGGGGCCGGGGGGCTGCCGACACCAGCACGGCGCTCAGCGAGGCGCGGCTCCGCTGCCCGGGCAGCGAGAGCAGCGAGACCCTGTCAGCGCTTCCCGCCGGCAAGGATCCCGGGAAAGATCCCGGGAAGGATCCCAGCGCGGGGCGCAGGGGGAGCCCCGCCCACTCCCGCAGGCGCGCCTCTCGGCCCCGCCCCTGCCCGCGCCCACCAGCCCCACCCTCGGTCCCGGCGGGGTCCCCCGTCGGTTCCGGGGCGGGCCGGAAGCGGCGCGCTCGCGCTCGCGTTCAAACGGCGCCAGGCCGCGCGGCCGCGAGCCCCGGCCTGCCCCGCGAGCCCCGGCCTGCCCCGCGAGCCCGCGCTGACCGCCGCGCCCCGTCCCGCCATGCCCATCCGCGCCCACTGCACCATCTGCTCCGACTTCTTCGACAACGAGCGGGACGTGGCGGCCGTGCCGTGCGGGCACACCTTCCACCAGGCCTGGTGAGCGCCGGGGCGGGCGGGGGCTCGGGCCGGGCCGCGGGCTGTCAGCCACGGGCGCTTTCTGTGGCCCCGCGCCAGGGCTCCGAGGAGTTGGCGGAGCTGCCGCAGCAGTGCGGGCTGTGCCGGTCGTACATGTGAACGGGCTGTCCCGGGAGCCGGTGGGGTTGCCTGGAGGTCTTTAAGGCAAGAGTGGATGTGGCACTTGGCATGGTGGTGATCGGCCATAGGTTGGATTCGATGATCTCAGATCTCTTCCGACCTAATTGATTCTGTGCTTCTGTCGCTGTGCTGCCTGCAGGCTCCCTTCTCCGGAAGAGCCAGTGTCACAGGGTGTTTGGAGGGAGTGATGCTGGATTATGGTGAAACTGCCCTGGTAATTCCATGCTTTTCTGGGACTGTGTTGTGAGTGTCTGTGTTGAAAGGAAATGGTTCTTCTCAGGAAATAAACTTTGTGTGGGGAGAGGGTGGGCATTTGCTTTCCTAGCTAACAAGCTTGGAGAGGACCACAGGTGTGATTGTCACTTCTCACTCAGCAGCGCTGCTCGGGCCTGCTCTCTGCCAGCAGCCAGTGGAGCAGGGAGAGCTTCCAAAGGTAACCTGCCAGCTCCGCATCATTACCTGCTCCCAAAATAAACCTTTCCAGTGTGACGTGGTGGCTTGGTTGCAAAGTGCATTAGTCCTGGGGAGCCCAGCAGGTTTGCGTTCATCATCCCAGAGCAGAGCCCAGCCCGGTGCCCCTCGCTCAGCAGATCCATGGCACCCCTTGGAGCTGACTGGGCTGGGATCTCAGCTGTCACATCCTGATAGAGCAGCTCCTGTGTTCATCCACTCGCTCCTGTGAAGCTGTGGCTGTTCAGTGCCTGTCTCCCAGAGAGATCTGAGCTCTGCAAAAGCTCTGCCCTGTTAAAGATAAGCTCACATGCTACATTCAGCCAGGAATTGTATTGGAGATGCAGGTGGAGCATGCATGTGGAACATGGAGCTCCCACCGGCTACAGTGCTGGACTGAAGGTTTGCCTCTCTGCTTTAGTGTGTGACAGAGAGCCACATCCTGTTGTCTCCTGGGGAGCTGGGAGATGGCCCCTGGAAGCAGTGCTCCAGGGCTGTAAGGATTTACTGTATGTTTTCCTTTTCTTTCTCAGCCTCTTCCAGTGGTTTGACACTGCACCAAGCCGGACATGCCCGCAGTGCAGAAACCAGGTAAAGCATCTCCTGTGCACACCTGTGGCACCAAGGAGCTGTGGCCGGGGGTGATGTCAGAAAAAGGCTCATGGTAAAAAGCAGAGGGGCTTTCTGTCACTTGGGACTTCCTAGAGGAGAGGAACTCCCCTCCTGAGCCCTTTGGGTTGTAATGAGCTGAGGGTGCCCTGCTACTGTGTCCACTGCAGCTCCTTTCAAAAGGGGCTGTGGGTTTTCACAGCTTCTACTTAGGCTGGGTAAGAGTTGGCATGATGACAGGAGGGACTGCAAGGGCTTAATGGGACACCTGACTGATGTTTCTGGTGTGCCCAGCCCATTGCTGTCAGGTGGACAGCCCATTCTGCTGCACGTGGGCCTTACAACCCCTCCTGGCGTAGCGGTACTTGACCTTCCCTTGAGAATGGTGATGGCTGGGGAGAGAAAGAAAGATGTGCTCTGCTTCTGAGATAGGAAGCTGAGCCTTGGGTTTCATTGGCTTAACTGGGACCTGAACGTCTTTGAAGTCCCTTATCACCAGCCTTCATGCCACCACTGGCTCATGGCAGTAGTGGCTGCAGGAGATGTTTCCCCGCTCTCAGATGTAAATTTTTAGCCAGCTGCTGCTTGGGCTTATTCTGTGGTCGTGCTTCTTTCCTTCTCTCAAGGTCTTGGCCCTTGTTCCTTCCCTGACTTGTTGATTCCCTCTGTTCTTCTCTGCCTCTTACATCTCTGGGTTACCATGGAGTTATCGTGAAATAACATCTTATGTGGCAGTAACCATGCAATTAGCTGGTGTCATGACTGTATATAATACTTAAAACACAAAGCTGTAACTGCATGGGGGAGGTGTGGAGAGCTATCAAATTCAATTACAGCACCTTCTGCCTGCAGAAAGCAGCACGTACTTCTGTCTTAGGATTTGGCATCATGTTAGCTCAGCATCAGCTGCTTTGGGCTGAGCTGCCAGAGAACAGACTGCGCTCGATTCAGAAATGTCTGAATCTTTCTGCTGCAGCTCAGGAGCTTGGCTGGAGTCACACTCCCAGAAACTGAGTGGGGGGTCTGCTGCTGTGCTGTTGAGCCAAAGCAGAGCATCACCACTAATGGTGTCAAACACGTGACCTGATTTGCCTTTCATGGCCTTGTCACAAGACAGTACCTTCTCCCCCTCCATCTGTCTTCCATATCTGTTGTTTCCATATTTGTGCCCATCAGACTCTTCTGTCTCCTGTGTTTAGGTCAGCAAAAGACACATCATCAGTAAGCTGTTTTTTGATGTTACCCTGGATGAGCAAGCAGCACCGGATGCTGAGACCTTGCAGGTAACTTGACGGGGGAGTTCTTTCCTCACGTTATACTTCAGCTTCCTGGAAGGGTGGCCTGGCCTGCTGGTCCTCTGCCAGCAGGTGCTTCCCAAGCTGGAGTTTGTTGTGCTCATGTGTCTGACCTGAAGCATATCACTCTCTGGTGATTTAGCATTCCCTCTGACCAAATCCCATGTGGTGACCCAAAGAGCCTCCTCTACTTCCTGCTCTTCCTTCTGCTTCTCACTTTACCTGGAAGCCTCCTGAAACAGCATCACATCAGACTGATGGTCCTGCCTTGGGAATGAGGGTACAGAGCTGTTCCCAAGGGCAGGAGAAGGGAAATCCCAGATGCAGTGAATTGCTGCTGGTACCTGTGGTGCAGCTGTGTGTGAGCCCTGCTAACCTCTATGGAAAGAAGGGGCCATTGGAGGAAGTGCCTCCTCCTCCTCCCTTCTGTGCAGGGAGGTTGCTTGTGCAGATTGAAGGATGTGGGGCAAGGTGATGAGGTCATGATTCTCCAAGAGAGATTAGGAATTAACTGCCTGAAGCCACACCAGCAGCAGTGAACAACGTGGAGTCTGGGTCCTGACAGGATCCTGGATGGAGCTGGGATGCTGGGTGGTGTGTTCCAAGTGCCACCTTTGGGTGTGGAGAGTTGCGTGTGAGCAGGGATAAACACAAAGTGGCTGTTCCATATTCTCCTTTGTGTAGTGTGGATGAAACGGGGCTCTTTCTGTCTTGGAATTATCTGTTCCCAAAAAAGGGTGGCTGGTTGACCTTGGTATAACGGGTTGCTTGTACCCTCTTGTGTTTAGAAGCAGCATGTGCAGCAATTACCATAATTAGCAGTTGCCATGACAATTCTGTATGTACTTTGTATGTCTTTAAAATAAAGCCAGCCAGACTAGAATGTCAGTAGCAGTGTCTTTCTCCAAGACCACCAGTAACAAAACTGAAGAGCGAAGTGTGCAGAGGAGCGGAGGAGCATCTCTGGGCACTGGGAGCCATGTGCCCTCACAGCAGATACACATTTCCTTTTGTACGGATTGGAATCCCTTCCCACGAGCCTAATGAGATCACTAACTCGGACATGGGTTGTCTGGAGAGAATTGCCCTAAAAAAAATCTTCCTGTTCTCTCTCACCCCCACCCCAGGATCTAAAATGGGTTCTCCCAGCCTTCTGCTCTAGGCAGGCTGTGCAGAACTGCTCCCGTGCTCAAGGGCAGGACTGTGAAGCTGCTCCTGCGCAACAAGCTTAATGGTAACTTGTCCTGCTCCTATAAATCTTATGTGTATGTGTCAGAGCAACATCTAGCCTCAGTGTACAGCCTGCTTAATGAGGGCTCTGAGGTCACCAGCAGAAAGAACCAAATACTTTTCTGGGTAAATCAGCATCGTTAGCTTGTGCGGCTGTTCACTGCTGTGTGCACTGTGCAGGTTGCTGCTGCAACCAGTT